CATGTTTGACCTTTCGGTCCCCAGTGTTCCGAGACCATGTATGTACATGCTAGGCTCATCAAGTTTAACCCAAGTATTCTGCTTGTGCAAAATTGGCTTACACCCGTTGTAGGTGAACGTAGAGTCTATCACACTCGATCAACACGAGGTGCTTCGAAGCGACGAACTTTAGCAACTGTGCATACTCGGGGAGAACATTTTTATCTTGAAATTAAGTGAAGGGGTCATCTTATAATGCTACCGTTGTTCTAAGCAAAATAAGATGCATAAAGGATAAACATCACATGCAATCAAAATATGTGACATGATATGGCCATCATCATCTTGTGATTTTGATCTCCATCTTCAAAGCATTGTCATGATCTCCATCGTCACCGGCTCGACACCTTGATCTCAATCGTTGCGTCAGGGTCATCTCGCCAACTATTGCTTATACAACTATTGCTAACGCATAGCGATAAAGTAAAGCAATTACATGGCGCTTGTGTTTCATACAATAATTAAGAGACAACCCTAAGGCCCTTGCCGGTTGTCGATATTACAAACATGATCATATCATACAACAACGTATATCACATCACGTCTTGACCATATCACATCACAACATGCCCTGCAAAAACAAGTTAGACGTCCTGTACTTTGTTCTTGCAAGTTTTGCGTGGCTGCTACGGGAGAACCGTTCTTACCTACGCAAAAACCACAACAATGATTTATCAAGTTCGTTGTTTTAACCTTCTTGAAGGACCGGCCGTAGTCAAATTTGATTCAACTAAACTAGTAGAAACAGACACCCGCCAGCCACCTTTATGCAAAATAAGTTGCATGTCAGTCGGTGGAACCGGTCTCATGTATGTGGACATGTAAGGTTGGTCCAGGCCGCTTCATCCCACAATGCCGCCGAATCAAAATAAGACATTGGTGGTAAGAAGTATGAACATCACCGCCCACAACTCCTTTGTGTTCTACTCATGCATATCATCTACGCATAGACCTGGCTCTTGATGCCACTGTTGGGAAACGTTGCATGGAAAACAAAAAAAATTCTATGCACACACAAGATCTATCCATGAAGATGCATAGCTACGAGAGGGGAGAGTGTGCCTACATACCCTCATAGACCGTTAAGCGGAAGCGTTTATCAACGCATTGATGTAGTCATACACCTTCATGATCCACCTGATCAAGTACCGAACGTACGACAGCTCTGCATTCAGCACACGTTCAGCTCGATGACGTCCTCACATTCTTGATCCAGCAAGACGGGCGAAGTAGTAGATGAGTTCCGCAGCACGACAACGTGGTGATGGTGGTGATGCAACTATCTTCGCAGGGCTTCGCCGAGCACTACGAAAATATGACCGAGGACGAACAAGAGGGAGAGGGGCGCCACACACGGCTAGGGAATCGTGGTGTGTGTTGC